TTATGAGTCTTATAATACGCAAAATTCCACAAATCGTAACATATAGAACAATCCAAGCAGCAATAGAGACTGGCGCAGTTCATTCATTTAACCTGCTTTAGGGAAGAGGATGTTTGTGTAAATGTGCCTGATGATACAACAAATACCATATATTTAGATTAAACATTTCATGCCCATTATGTAACTTAACTATTTTCATGATACTATTTCTGATTTGGTCATCAGGTAGTTTTATATATATATATATATATATATATATATATATATATATATATATATATATATATATATATATATATATATATATATATATATACGAGGGTTGTTCGGAAAGTTCGTGGACTGATGCGATAAAATTAATACTATTTAGTCTATGCTTACAAAATTTTTAAGGAACATAAAACAACAAAAGATAAAGAAATGTTGTAAATTTTAGCTTGATACTTTGAATATTTACCAAATAATCATGAAATAAAAAAGACATTATATGATCAACCGGCGATGTCGCCATTTAGTTTCATGACGTCATTGTTTCTCAATGTCAGCCTTCTCTACCTCAAGCACTTATCTTGATAAAATTCCTTGGAGTTAGGTAAAGATTTAAACCCGTCTTGTTTATAAGATTTTACAATTTCAAGAACAGCTGCAAATTTTACGGTACAATTATGTCATACAACATAAGTGGATTAACAGGATTTTTGGATGACAAATGCTCATATTAAAAAAAAGAGTTCTTCTCAGTTACACTTAGGTAGAAAAAACGTAATATTCGAGGTTGCGCCGCCTGGACGTACCATTGCTTTCAAAAACATCAACAATTTATTAAAAAATATATTTAATGATGTATAGTTTATTATATAAATAAAAAATATGATGCTAATTAAACGTTAAAAAAATTCATTGATGTATCTTAAGCGGTTTTAATTTTATGGTGCTAGTCTACGAACTTTCCGAACAACCCTCGTATATATATATATATTAGGGATGGCAATCGAATACAGAATTGCTAATCGGTTAACCGCAAAACGTTCCGACCGATTAACCGGTTAATCGTATCAAACTACACATTTTCTTGACTTTTTTCAGGAAGTTCTATTCCCATGCACAAGAAGTATTAAAAAAAGATGTTAGAGGTCAAAAACATTCTTCATCTGAAAACTACAAGTACATGCATATATTTTTTATTTCAATAGACAAGAAAAAATCAGAAAACTATGAAACATGCCTGAGATATCGTGGATAATTTTCCAGAGTGGAAGTCACACAAGTTCATTCTTCATTGTCACCATAATCAAAACTAAGATTAAACTGTATCACTTAATTTACATTGTTTATTTAATAATTTAATTTGCAAAAGATACACACACCAATTCACGGTGCTCAACGGCGATTAGTATCATTAAAGAATTAGAGGACAGTCGGGGTAATGACATGATGTTTTAACAGTAATTAACACATCTCGGACTGACCAATTACCCCATAATTTTAATCTGGAGAGCCATAATTACCTCCCAATCAGCCTCAATCAATAAATATATGAAAACGCAAAATTATCAACGTTTAAGAAGGAATTTCTTTTTTAAAAATGGATTTAATAATATTGCCTTCATTTTTACATATGGTAAATTTTTTTTCGACTAACCGATTACAGTTTTTCTAACCGATTGCCATCGTTCCGACCGAGTAATCGGTTAACCGGTTAGAAATTGCCATCCCTAATATATATATACATAACATTATGTAGCATTAACGCCTTTTCAAACAAAGTTACAGCCCTGAACCGACGAAAAAAGTTGAGGTTACAGCTCTCAGTACTGTATGTAGTGTTACCATTATACCATAGTTATAGTTTTGGGGTAAGTGTTCAGAACATTAACATCAGATGAAATACGGAAAGCTTCATCCGTCTGGCACAGGATGTATGGCAGGTGGATCAAATAAGAGTTTTTTTTTTTAGATTTATTTTAAAGAAAGAAATATTTGCATACACTACTTAGTATTCACTTTGTTGGAATATATATATATATATATATATATATATATATATATATATATATATATATATATATATATATATATATATATATATATATATATGTTTTCTGACCCATGAACACATATGATTCGGAATATTGCTCTCTAATGTACATACATTATTTTCTTTTTTAATATTTTAGTCTTCCAATTAATTTTTTTTGGTGAAGTACATGTGATTTACTACCCACATACTCCTGTAGAAATTTTATGTGAATCAAACACATTATCAGGTGTATTGTTATATACATTGTAATTTGTTAAGATATATAATTACAACGAATTACCAATATAAAGCGACTCATGGTATAAATATGACTGTAATTATTGTAATAAATACTAATAAATTATGCATGTGAACTGTATTTGCATGGATCCTGTGTGTTGTAACAGTCGTCTATGTCTATGGTTAGTCCTATGTAATAACTTTGCACTTCTTAGTAAAATACCACATATTTTTTGTTACGCTTGTATCATCATTTTTTAAGTGATGGCAACAGCCAGAGATTTATGGAGGCAATGTACGAAAATGGGATAAAGATGTCATGGTATATTGGAGCAAATTATTTTTAAAAAAATGATTTTGAATTATGGTATGTTTTAATCAAGCTTGTTCAACCCTTCTTGTCATTTTTCACATATCCTTTACAGTTTCATATGTATTATTGATGCTATATATCAATTAGGGAAAATCAAAGATGTGTACCTATTTTATAGTACATGTATGTACTTTTTTGATTGCTTCATTTTCGTTTAATATAAAAGTTGTAACATAAATTATATACAAAAATGCTCAGTGTTTTACTTACATTGTCGTTTGGAATAAATACTCTTTTTAACAGTATGCATATGTTTTTCTTATCTTTTAGCTAAACATAGTAGAGAGTAGAGAAAGAACAGATCTTGTATTTGGAAGACAAATGAAGGTATAATGAACCTGTTCAAAGAAAAATCACACCTATTATAAGGAACAAATATCAGGAAATAAAATATCAGTATAGACACTGGTGCAGTTAATTCACTCAAAGTAATTCTCACTCACAACAAGGAAAAAGACAAGAGCAACAGAGTAATTGAGATTGATGAGGTTGGTATCCTAATATATTGGAACGGATTATTATAGAAAAAGATGCTGTTGAAATTATAAGTCTCTCAGTAAAAATAGAATTATGACAAAGAAAAAAACCCATAAATAACATAAATACATGCAGAGCTGTTCAAGGTTTTAGCAGCAATAGAAACTAGCGTAGTCGGTTAATTCACTTCAACACTGTTAAATTACAAATCATTATTGAAAACTTTTCACATCTTTTGTAACAAACAGCACATACTTCTTCCAGAATTTTGTGAATCGTTTTTAGTTAAGCCTTGTGAAGTTTCTTTGATTTTTAATACGGGAATTAACGGTTGCACTGTTTCAGAAAAAATACATAGCGTGCGTAAGAAATTTCTTGCAAAGGAATTTATCTTGGAACGTTTTTATAATTACATATACATTAAATATATTTGAGCGATCATAACCAAATGACTACTTTATCGTATTTTTGAAATTGGATGCTTATACGGTTTCTGAATTTCTTTTTTAGGAGTAATGCTTCGAGAAATTTGATAGGCAAAGGGTCAAAATGGTTGTTTTGCAATGGAACAGTATATATCTAGCATCAATCGGAGTAACAAGTGCATAACTGTAGGACAGATATACAATATGTCACATTACACATTATCCCTTTAGTTAAACCATGTGTTGACTTATTAGTCCCCTACCGGTGAAACCGGAGGGGACTATAGGTTTCCTCTGAGTCTGTCCGTCCGTCTGTCCGTCCGTCTGTCTGTCTGTCTGTCTGTCCGTCTGTCTGTCTGTCTGTCTGTCCCTCTGTCTGTCTGTCAGTCTGTCCCACTTGGTTTTCCGCACTTTTTTCCTAAACGCTTGCAGATATTGAGCTGATTTTTGGCATGTGAGTGTATCTTGATGAGTTACAGATCAAGTTTGCATTTCGTTCCGCTTCATTGATTTTTGACGGAATTACGGCCTTTTCAATTTTTACGGGTTTTCCGCAATTTTCTTCTAAACGCTTGTAGATATTGAGCTGATTTTTGGTATGTGGCTTTACCTTGATTAGTTATAGATCAAGTTTGCATTTCCTCCCGCTTCATTAATTTTTGACGGAATTATGGCATTTTCAATTCTTAACTGGAACCAGATTACACTTGCCGGTAGGGGACTAGTATTGCTAATGCAATACTCTCAGAATGCTTGTTTATCTTTATTTTGTGACTAACAACAGACATTGATACAAAATTTTGCTCAGACGCAGTATCGAAAGTATTTTTTTTTCATTTACACATATCAGCAGGTTTGGTTTGGATACCCCTTGCGCTGCGCAGGAAATACAACAATTTCAACTTTTATTTTCATGCTTACAGACGGACATTGTGATTCTTATAAAATTCTTAGTAAAACGTTGTTTTGGGGATTTATAAAAATATTGATTGTTGAAACTTGATAACCTAATATTTAAAAAAAAAAAAAATCTCCAATTTCCAATTTAAGAACATACCCTCTCCCCCACTTGTTTTTACCTCAACTGAATGTTTGAATACAATTAATGCGTTCATTGGTGTTTCCTCCTTTAAATCTTCTGTATTTGTAATACGTATGATGACGTATTGCCATTTTCTGTATTGAAAAAATATGTTATATTCAACTTAAGAACTGATACATTTCTAACATGAACAAATGAAAAAAAAACGACATGAACTTTTATAATTTTATGTAAACAAAACTACAAATTGTATTTACAAAAATAGCACATATGTTTTACACACATAAAACAGATAAGATCGACACTGCAGATATTAAGAAAGCGTCTTTTCCTTGTGTATCCACTTCGATTTACGTCAGCTTTCTCGGTACGCACTTGTTTCTTAAACTGAAATTTCCATTAATTATTAGGAACAGGGTCACTTCATTGTTAACAAACAAAGGCATTTTAGAATCCTAGTCCACTTGGCACAGTTAGGGAGGGAACGTTGTACGATGGCGGAAACTGAGGGACATTGGTGGTGTACTGACAACTTGGCCTGGAGATAGTCTGATGCTGCTCTGCTTGTTCTGACATCAAATGAGAAAGGATCCTGTTTCTTTGTTGAACGTCCATTTGGTCCCAAAAACTGTTCGTTGAAGGGATGGGTCCATACGATACCGGAAAAGGAAACTGGCAAGCTCTAGGCGGAAACGAGGCTTTTTGGTGATCAAAGCTGGGGTTGCTGTCTTGATGGATATATGGCATGTAGTGTAAGCTATAAAAAGGTGAAGAATAATCATGTAAAAATATTATAAAGAAAAATAAAAGAAATATATGTGTAGATTATAATTAATGTTGTTTTTTCCAGAATTACAACAAGATGTGTTTGTGAAACACTGATGCCCCCGTACATTGTACGGCAGCTTATGGCAAAGGTTAAAGTTTCTTAAATGCAAGTCAAACTCCATGTCAAGAAATCAAAAATGTTGGTACCCAAAGAAAGGTCTTGTCTGAAGAAATATACCTGTGAAATATAAAAGCCCTAGTACAAACCGTTGAAAAGTTATGGCGAAGGTTAAAGTTTTTCCGAAGTAAGCAAAGCAAGTAAGTAAGTAAGCAAGGTCAAGGTCAAATGTGCCCTAGGAGAGTTCTTGTCACAGGTGACAAATATGATCGTGAAATGTGAAAGCCTTAGAACCAAACGTTCAAATGTTATGGCCAATGTTAAAAAAATTTAAAATTAGGTCAAACTCCAAGGTCAAGGTCATGCCAAAATTGTTGGTATCCAAAGAAAGGTCTTGTCACAGGAATATACATGAGAAGCATGAAAGCCCTAACACCAACTGTTCAAAAGTTATAGCCAAGATTAAAGTTTTTCAAAAGTAGGTCAAACTTCAAGGTCAAAGGGTCAGAGTTGTTGGTATCTAAAGGGAGGTCTTGTCACAGGGAATCCATATGTGAAGTATGAAAGCCCAAAACACTAACTGTTCAGAAGTTATGGCCAAGGTTAAGTTTTTCAAAAATAGGTCAAACTCCAAGGTCAAGGTCAAAGGGTCTAAGTTGTTGGTATCTAAAGGAAAGTCTTCTCACAAAGAATGCATATGTGAAGTATGAAAACCGTAGCACTAACTGTTCAAATGTTATAGCCAAGGTTAAAAGTTTTCAAATTTGAAGTAGGTCAAACTCCAAGGTCAAGGTCAATGGTCAAAGTTGTTGGTATGCAAAGAATTGACTTGTTTCAAAGAGTACACATGCAAAGTATGAAAGACCTAGCTCAAATTATTCAAAAATTATGGCCAACGTTAAAGTTTTTTCAACAGTAGGTCAAACTACTACAGGTTCAAGGTCAAAGGGTCAAAGATTTTGTTATCCAAAGAAAGGCTTTCTCACAAGAAATACACTTGTGAAGTTCGAAAGCCCGAGGTCCAAGTGTTCAAAAGTTATGGCCAAGGTTAAAGTCTCAAAAATTTTGCAAAAGTGGGTCAAACTCCAAGGTCAAAAGGTCAAATGTGATGGTACCCAAAGAAAGGTATCGTCACAAGAAATACACGTGTGAGATATGAAAGCCATGGCTCCAACCAATCAAAAGTCAAGATTAAAGTTTTTGCTGACAAACAGACAGACAGACGGACAGGGCAAAAACTATATGCCCGCGAATCTTCGATTACGAGGACATAAAAAGGTGAATATTTACAGTGAATATCTCATTCACCATGTTCATAGCCTCTTTTCATTGGTATATTTTGCATTGAATTACGTCCAGCACAAATACTTAGTAGCAGTTGAAACTTACTTAGAAATTGGTCGGCAGATTGGGTTCTCCGGAACTTCCTGTACTTGGTTTGGTGGCGACAACACGTGTTGTTTTCCGTCACCAGAAATCACTTGGCACGAACTGCGCATGTCTGAGTTGTAAAACTGTTTCCGCATCCAAGCGACGTGAGAATCCTTAGATTGTCTTTTAAACTTAGAACGTCTGTTTTGGAACCAAACCTGCAATTAATTTTTAATATTTATACGAACATACATGTATTCCATTGCCTAAGTTACAAGCACAGTTCCCAAAGTCCAAATCCACTTTCAGTTGAGAAACCAAGAGTTAATCACGTATTGAAATCAAATTAACACACCGTGAAGACCCTGGTATGGCATATTTTTAATGAAATAAAAAAAGCTGCAGATAACGTTCTGTGATCAATCTCAAATAAACTTACAAAATAATACAAATCTGTGAACAGGGCAAAAAAAAAAAAAAAAAAACAGGGACCCCTGGAAATTCCAGAGGTGGGTCAGAAGCATGAATGATTAGCATCCCCTGTTGTCAGGTCACACCCACCGTGAGCCCTATGTATTCATCAAATAGACGGAATATTCCGTAGTCGAATTCAGTATAAAAACAAAGGCCTAACAATTGGTATGAAATATGTCAGTCAAAATACGATCCAAGTGATAGCTTATAATTGCTAACAAGTCATTATAACGACCATAGTATCTACGAAATGCTGACTTTAAACAAGGTTGTTGTAATATCAACTTATCTGTCAGTAGCCTGCCTCGGTTTAAGAATTGATCGTACTTAGAGCATAGTCTTGTGTATCGAATAAGTATGAATATCATTTATCATCATAATACATTTTTAAAAAAACCCTATCTTTTTGTTTTTGTTAACATTTCTTTTTTGATTTACTTCCTGAATTTAAAAATTGCGCTGGAATACTTAATCTAGTTGTTTGTAAATTTGGAAATAACTACATGATTCTTACCGAAACTTTATCTGTACTGATATCTAATTTATCCGCCAAGTCGTCCAAGGTTTCTGTATCCGGGTACTGTGAACTACGGAAAGCGCCCTCTAGCAACTCCAACTGAAAAGGAAATTAAAAAATATTAAGTTACCACCAGTTTTAAGAATTTGCAAAACAAGTGCATTATCATAAACAAAGATTTTTGGAGGGGGGGGAGGGAGGGGGAGGGGTTCAAGACATTTACACAAGCTTGAAATTAAAGGCGGATCCAGCATCGGCGTGATGCTTAAAATAAGAATGAAGTAATCACGGATTAGTGCCGGGATTCGTGGACCAGACTGAAGGAAAACAGAATGATCCATTATTGTCAAAGTATATATATATATATATATATATATATATATATATATATATATATATATATATATATATATATATATATATATATATATATATATATATATATATATAATTTTTTTTTTTTTTTTTTTTGAATAAAAAATTATATACTTTTGAAATTTGTAATTTTCTGAAAGTTGATATTTTAAATGCAACAAGATTTACTCTGAACGACGTGAAAATAATTTTAAAAAAATTATTCAGTAAAATCCTCTCCATCTGATTTCTTTTCTGATAATAAATACAAAAATTACAATATGACACCTCCCTGAAACAAGAGCCCACTAGTAAGAATTCAGTCATATCATGGAAAGCTGCCTGTCCATGAGAAGCACCCTCCTCTCCCCCGACAAAGGCTTATTGTTTTTGCTCGGATCCGCCCTTGAACATCCCTCCCCCCTCCGGTTAAGAATTTTCCGGAAACGCTGCTTAGAGTTTTTAATATACATTTTTTGATGGATTTTAATCCCAATTCATTGAATAAATAAAATTCTAAGTAGGCACAAGACGTGTACTCGGTCAAATAAATACATGTATATAAATAAAGCGCTACTTATACCTGTTCAGGTGAGTACTTGATCCTTGGTTTGGTAGCAGCTTTCTTGTAAGCATCAGAAACACCCATCTAAAAAACAGCACTCAATATTAGACGTGCAATGCTTTCAATATATTTTTATTTTAAAAGTTTTTCATATTTTACTTTACCAATGAATAGCCCATTGAGCTCAATTTCGGATAGGTAAAAAAATATTTTTCGCTTTATAACGCGAAGCTTTCACGAATAAACGCGAAACTTTCGTGTTTATTCGCGAAAGTTTCGCATTATAACGCAATTTTTTTTTTAACCTATCCGAAAATGAGCTCAATGGGCTTTCATAAATGAGTAATATATGTACATGTACATTATTTATTTATTATGATATATTTACCTGAAAATAGAAATGTGTTGTACAAGTATACAGAGTTAATGAATTACAGCCTATTAAAATAGAAAATAAAATCATAGATATATCACATAGTGATACATATGTATTATGGTGATGGTCATTTAAATTTTTCTAGAAATCAGAATCAGGGATGGGGTCAATTACATAGATACATTCAGAATCTGTAGGCATTTACAAAGAATTTCACATAGTACATTGTATTTTTTGATAATATTTCGTACACCCTTCATCACAAGAGACATCTGATTCATATAATTATATATCTTTATGTTATCCACTGTGTATATCAAGCTTTATTTAAATACAGAAAAAACTGAGAAAAGTAACGCAATATAGGTTCCGTTCCGAAATTATAATAAGCATTAACAGGACACCGCAGTAGCAGATCTATCGTGGTGGAAGGGGACGGGTGGGGGTGGGTGAGTTTTCAGAATGATTAAATTGGTGTAGATGTCAAAATGACCTTGGATCTCCTTATGAAAAACCGACCTCTCCTTCGTAAGAAGGCAACAGTCATGGTATAAGAGGCTGTTCATGAAAGGGAAAAGTGTTCAAACCGAAGTGTTTTTTTTTTTTGGTTTTATTTACTTAGTCGTTGATACTTACATGTATTTAGTCAAAAAATTCTGCGAGTCCTCCCTCCCCCCGCCTCTCCCACACACAAATAAGGTTTTCACAATTAAACTCGCAAGGTTTTTTTTTTGTACTTTCCTTGTCAAAAATATTTGAGCCTTTTTTTGGACAGGGTGTGCGTGTATAGACTCCTCTAGGAAAAATTCCTGGGTCCCATGTTACAAAAGAACTTAATTACGACTAATATCAAATTGTAATTTTCAAATATTTTTTTTTATATTCATTCGATAATGGATCTATTTTTTTCCAAATGAATTTAGAAAGATTTTTATGCACACAATTTTAAGAGAATCATTGATTTCGCAAGATTTTACAAACAGCTTAAGTTTTTGGTCTTAGTCATAAGTTCTTTTGTAAAAAGGGATACGTGGATTCGAAATTAACTCAGACAGCTTTCCTCGACACAAAAACCTTGATTCTTCGGAGAGGTCAAACATGTACATACTAAGCATGTATGGTCATTTGAGGTCTTCCAATATCACAATAAACATATGTATACATTCATGAGATCTTTATTTACCAACCTACTCTGATAGTAAATTTTATTTTGATATCGGTTTCGAAGAAATTTTCTCAGAAATGTCAACGTACTTAATTAAATCAAAAACATATAAAAGTACGGAACATATCACTTCGATTTATCATAAAGAGTGTGTTGCGTAAATGCAGCATATTTTCAGCAGGAAATTCCAACTGTTATATTTTAATAATTATAACTGATGCTTAACCCTAGGTCTATGTCTATGCTGTGATTGAAATATTGCCTTTTACCTTCTCATCAAACAAACAAACAAACAAACAACAGACAAACAAACAAACCAATAATATTTATTTTACATGTCGTTCAAAACCAAGTGTTTCTCATGTTTCTGTACCGAAATTGTTAGCTTTCCCGACAATTCGTTTCCATCGAATCCAAATGTTCTGAAATTTGAAATGTTTTATAATGTAACAATTATTTATCAACTTATCAAAATTTGTAAATTGTTAGATAAAATAATTTAGAGAATTGGCTCTCTCTTGGTTAATTACATTCTGTTATCCCTTCTTCAAGCATGTTATATTTTCTGTTTATTATATTGTTTGTACACTTGTACATATTGTATCTTCTCTACACTGACTTCAGTTATGAGAATAATTGTCATCGGCAGAAATTTTTGATATCCAGGATTTTCATCTTACTCTGATCTTCACCATTTTGAAAATTGCATTAGTGGCGACATTAAAAGAAAAAGATTATAATTCTAAAAAAAAAAAAAAAAAAAAAAATTCTATATAAATGCACAAATTTTGAACTCGCTAATTGTCGCTTACTACATTTAAGTATGACTTGCTCGGACAGACCAAAAGGAAAAAAACCCCACCACCAACAACATTGGTATTTCGAGAACTCTTAAAAATACTGTGGATAGCATATTTTGGAACACATTTATCTTCTCCCCTTTTATTCTTTAAAAACTCGAGGTTTCATGCATCGCAAGAGCAGTTTCCCCCAAAATCTATCTAAGGATTTTTATAATTTGATGCAGTTTTTTTTAAACAGCCAATTCTACAGTTCCTTACGTCATAGTTATATACCACTCTGTTTTAAAAAGTATTCGTGATGGTAAATTCTCCTGTATGGTGTTTCATGAACTATCAAAGGCATTTGATAGAGTGTGGTGTACGTGTATAAGGCTAAACTGAACTTTGCGTTACTGGGCCTACAATTATAGGTTCTAGAAAATCATTATACTTAGAAAAAGGTTGGGAACTTTAGAAAACAGAGGAAATAGTAAGAGCTTAACTACATATAATAACAATGAATGAAATGCACAAAAATTAGTACCCACTTGCATACATGTACAACAGGCATGTAGTATCGTTTTTGAAGGTTGGGGGAGGGCCGGGGCAGTCAGAAAAAAAAAAATTGACAACTTACCGGAAAAGACTTTGACAAGCAAAAAAGAGCAAATTGTCCAAATATGATTTAACTATACCGCATTAAAAAGTCGCGTCCGACCAGCTTTTCAAGGAACATTTTCAACAGTAAAAAGTAATGTTTGGAAAAATGGGGCAAGCTTCCCTCTCCCCCTCCCCCTTTCTACGTGGGTGTACAAAAAATACTAGTAGGCCTAATACCTGATATAGGAGGCAATTTCTCAAGACATTCTAATCGAAATACTTTAAACTTTTCTTTGCTAAAAAGAAATACTCAATAAATTTTACAGTTCCGGTTAAGCCCTTAATCGTTACCCTACATTTACCTCAAAGCCTAACCCTTACTCTTGCTCTACAGCTCTAGAGCTAGGTTAAGCTTGGATAATAGAAAGTGGAGTGCACTTCGTTTTGATACAAGGGAGGCAACTCCCGTTAATAAACTTTTTAAAGAACATTATTGTAAAATTTATAAACATTGTTCATCTGAACAAGTTCAAATTTCACAGTACATGTAATTTCTCCATGTAGACTATTAGAAGAATCATATCATTTGTGTTTCATTTGTAAAAACTGCAACAGCAAGTCATTCGGTTATGATAAATCCTTCTATCAATAAATCTGTTCATTATAAATTAAATATTCATTTGATGCTGAGGGGGTACGGCCGGAGGGTATGTGTCTGTGTGATTTCTCTCTGATGTTCAAAACGAAAAAAATCTTCAAAGTTATTCAAGATTTTTCATGAATGTCGTCTTTTTTCTAAAAAAAATCTACTTTATATAAAGAATTACAGACTATCTTAAGGCACTGAATTATTGTATTAACTTTAAGTATCCCCTTTGATTTTTTTGTAAATAAAATATCTTCAATACATCGATCTTTCTAATTTCTTTTTCTCACGAAAGTTTAAAAACAGTTTATTCAAAATCTAAAACCTATACCAAGCTAATATAATACTTAATATACCTATCATGCTCATAGACATAACTGTAAAGTTTAATCTGATGTATGTGTGAGTATAATAAAATAGAAGTCCATATACTGTAGTATCTGTACATACAGCACAGATTTCAATAATTCAATAATTCGTAAATTTTAATGAAGTGGACAGTAAGGGCAAATTTACTTTAATTCTAATTTCAAAGACAGTGTAAATCCCTTATAATGTTTTTTTTTTCAGATCAAAAATATATTATATTATATATTACGCTTTAAATAAGAAACTATATTTGTTACTCTTTTGGTAGAAAACAAACATTTGGGTCCCGAATTACATGTATGCTAAAATTATCGTGACGGGAACCATCATATTAAGCCGAACAGAATATGCGTGAAACGTCTTAGGGCGAACCATGCATTCGAGCGAAACATCCCGTTTACGCCCCCCCCCCTCCCTTAATTTGAATTTTTTTTTACAGTGTTTATATAACTAAAGTTTCTTAATTAATTTTGATATTAACGTAGAATAGACGGATTGGGGCAACATAACTTGTAGTTATTTAAAATATTTTCATATTTTTCGACAAATATATACCAAAAGTATATTGCTAAAATTAATGTATTTTTCAAATTTCATTTATATTCTTAAAAACATTACTTTGAAACCTGTAGCACTCTCCCTCTATCCTGCGTTATCAAGAGGGATTTTACACCAGTACATGCAATAAAAGATTTTGTTCTCGAAGTTACCCAGCGTTATTTATTAATTTCTTAACAGCATCTATTCTTTGAATCAAAAGTCAATTCAAAATTTAGTATAAAGAAGAATTGTTATATATTTTTTATTAGAAATATTATAGTATGTTATAAATATACAGATTATAAAATTTCCAATTTCTTCACTTTATGACCCTCAATCATCTACCCTTCTTAATGGAAAGCCCATTTTGTTTCTGTTATACATGTATGTTTCTGTTATTAGAACACTGTAAAAATGATGATATCGGAAGCCCATTTTGTAGTACAGATTTCATCAAGGACCTTAAACAAAGGAAATATTTTTTATTTTGTACAATTGAAAAAACAAAACAAAACAAAACAAAACAAAACAAAACACGCTTATTAAATATATGTACACACATGCTTTTCATAAAAAATAAACCTTACATGTATATATACAAATATTCAAATTCAGGAATTACTGTAAAAAACTCAATTGTCCCGTTACACTTAATTTAAGTGTTTGAAAATGAATTTACTTACTTTCCTTTTTAGGATATATAATTACAGTACATTTATTTTAAAAATACCTTTTCATTCTAGCGATTAACTTCACATAAGTGATAAATATAAAGAAGAGTTCTTGAGATACTGATTATACATGTAATATAGCTACTTTTATTTTTATTTGAATTTACTCTCTATAGCTTCCGACATTATTCTTCTAACGATCGCGACTTTTTTTTAATTTTAAAATTTTTGTAGTTTATAATAGATAAATTTAAACTCCCTCCTTTCCAAGAAAAAAAATAAACTACATTCAGTTTGATAATTATTACAAAAATGTACATGTGAAGAATTAGAAAAATATTTAATGATGATATCGAAAAATAAACAAATGATTAGAAAAACTTACCTTAGTTCTTTGCACAACAAGCTGTCTGGAATATTTTCTCAAAAATGATCAGTATGAAACCACTGGACACCCCTCTCTAACCGTTATCAAAATACACGCGCATGCTCTTTTCATCTTTCCGCCAATTTAAAAGCTCATCATTTCCGCGGCATAGTGCGATGTTGAAAAAGCGCGCACTTGTTACAAAAACATGGAAGCCATTTGAATTAATTAAGAGATGGGTTTTGTAAATTCACGCAAACAATGTGATTGTTTGTTGTGATAGGACACCTATGATGTGTCCGCTAAATATAAGGGGATTAAGATAATCTCTGATTCATAAAATCGTTAATTATATTGGTTTCGATAAGACTCTCCGTTTTGCGTGGTCGCGTCGTATGTTTACTGAATCAAATTTTGCTCATACAAATAGAAAAATATGCAGATATTCATTATCGCCGATTTTAATTTTGAATGAAAAATTAACACAAAATTTCAGAAAGGTGCACAGTTATTTAAATCATATTCTAAAAAGAGTTTACCATGCTTTCAGAAGTAATATTTCATCAAATTAAAGATATTTATAATCCATGCAAATCTAATAAAAGAAATAATTCGTTCAATCAAGTAAGCTTAATAAAACACATAAAATAGATAAATAAAATAAACCATAAATAAATAGTTTGATTTTATTTTAATATAAGTTGTACTTGATTTAAAAATTTATATTCTCCACATTAACATCAAGAAAAAAAAAAATAAATCAAAGCATTAGTTTAATTAAATTAGGAAATTATAACATGATATACATGACCTTGTAATTACAAAGACCTCAAGAATTAATTATAATTTGTCATTTCATGTTCTACCTCAAAATAAAGGAGTTAATTTTTAAATCATATTAGCCCCGGTCTTCTTAAAATAGAAAAATTCAAACCACTATATTTCAATATAATTTGCAATTGATCACATCTGTATTAATTAATATTGTTTTGGATTAAAATCACGTACAGATTTCAAATGTAAATATTTTAGTTAACATAATGTTAGAAAAAGACACTGTAAATTTAATGACCTTTCATTGACAAGATACAAGCCATAGCTGTATTTAGAACACATTCAAAAACTATATAGATTTTTTTTATATGACCGAATTTTACTTTTTTCTGCATTAAAAATGAGTTAAGAAACCAGAAGCAAGAGGGAAGAAAATAGGCCACGAATAAAATTTTCACGTTTTTTTTAATTTTTATTTTATAGAAGTGTACTTAAAATTCCATTCAGTTTTTAATATCATCAAAGGCCATGTAGAGTAAATAGCAAATAAAAACATCTATATAGCTATTTCTAAATTTTGATAAAGAACGCAGCGGGATTGTTCGTCGAGTTAGTAAATATCAAACCTATAATTCGACTCAGGACTTCGAAACCCTATTCCTTTACTCAGTGGTTGACAAAGCATGCAAGAAAAAAGTATATATGTTATTTTTGTACTCTAACATTGAAACATTTCCTTCGCGCTGGTAGTTAGAATCATTTTTTTTCCGTCACAATGTGTCTACGTCACTGTTAAGATTTGTTATGACGTAACAATACAAAGCGTCAAGTTACCAGGCTTCTGAAGATAAATTGTCAAAAGTAGCAAGATATCAAATACGAAATGGATATCACAATCCAAATAGGATCTGCAAGTGCAGTTCTGCGAAGTTCACAATTTTTCCTTGATCAGCTCCGAAATTATTTCGAGCATTTTATCGAAACAACTTGCCTGGAAACTTTGTTGGAACTGGTATGTTTCCTTTAGTCATTTGATCTTTATATTTTGTTTGTATTTTACAGCAGTAAACTTTATCATATATAGTATTGCTTTCCATATTGGGCTTTCAAGGTAAAAAAAAAAAGGCCGCAGCTTTATTTAATTGTTAAATTAATTTTTAGGAAATTTTATTAATATTAAAGTGCTTAAACAAATGGAAATATTGAGAAGACACAAAGGGTTTATGAGGCAAATATTTATCATATACATTATGGGGAATATCTTTATATCATATTACAAAATTCTCTCTCAAATAAAATTTTATTACATTATAAAAAAATGTAATAACCTAACTGGCAAATTTGCTTTAAATTGTATTTTCTCAGTTTAATTTGCTGCTTTTCAGGGTCCGTACACAATCAAAACAGAGATGATTCTGCAGATTGTCGAGAGAGGAATAGTACCAGAGCATGCTACATTTTTCAAGTCGAACGAAAAGGAAGACATGAAGAAGTATTTCGGTAAGAGAGAGAGAGAGAGAGAGAGAGAGAGAGAGAGAGAGAGAGAGAGAGAGAATTATACTGATATTTATTAATGCTGTAAACTTGATATCCTAGCCTTTTACCCTCCACTTTTGTTGTGTTTTTCTAGTGGCACTAAAGAAGAACTTGGTAATGGCCTATATAGCTACAATCACGGTGTCCAAAGGGGAAATCACGGAGAAGGACGGACATTCCATTGATAATATTTGGAGAAAAGTGGCGGAAAACGTAAAGGAAATAGGTACGAAAATCAATCATTTAATTTACACCAAAAACAGAAATCAGGATATTCCATAAAATATTTCTTTTTCTGATAAGAATTAGAAATGAGTTTTAAAAGAAATGAAATTTAAATGTTCAAACAATTTCAATATTCAGGAAGCCAATAGAATTCTGACATCATTTTACGGCATATTTCAGACGAAACAAATCAAGTGGAGAAATTACTCAGCGAAAGTGAATATGTGAAACATAATGTAAGTCTACTACATTGTAAGTATATAACTCTATAATTCTGTACAACGATAATTTTGTAACCCCATAACCCACAGAATGGGACATTTTAATCTTACTAATACGTTGTTAACCCCCCCCCCCTCCAAAAAAAAAAAAAACAAAAAAAAAAAAAACAAACAAACTATGGAATTCCATATACGACAGCCAACTGCTTACTGCCAACTGCTCACTGCTTACTGCCAACTGCTCACTGCTTACTGCCATCTGCTCACTGCTTACTGCCAACTGCCACACATATTTGAATAAATTTTCATATTTATATTGATATTTATTTGAATTTTCATAAAACCAGGCGCGGATACTGGAATTTTTTACAAGAGGGGTCCACCCCAGTAAAAAAAAATCCAACTCAGAAATTTCTTGACAAGAAAAAAAAAACTTAAACTCCTTTCCTAAACGAGAAAAACCTATTTCGGCGGGGGTGGGGGTGGGGGTTGACATCTTCTGCTTCATATCTATGACTTTTCATATCAACTTAACACGGATCTGCGTTTTCTAGGACGGGGGGGGGGGGTCCAAGGTCACTTTAAGTTGATTTAGTATATACATTAAATAATTCTAAAAATTCCAGGGGGTGGTCCGGACAACCCCTTCCCACCAACCCCATCCCCCCCTCTAGATCCGTGTATGTAAAACATAACTTATTTGGGAAAACAAAGAGATATAAATTTTTAATTTGAGGAAGTATTTCACTATAGGAATTAACGGAAATGGAAATTTATTTTCAAAACATCTTCCCCCGTGAAACAACAAATCATTTTTTTTTTAGTTTCTATTCATCCCAAAGGTTTTCTCTTAGGGGGGGGGGGGGCACGTGTTTTTGAAGATTAAAAACTGGAAAATAGTCATTTTATTACCAATTTCAAATGAGATAACAAATAAAAAATGTTTTTTACAGATCTAACAGATCTAACATTAGCCATTAAAACGATTTACATAAGACACATATAAAAATTCCCACACATAGGTACTTTTTTTAGGGTCAAAAGAAAATCCGAAAGATATTACAGGATATTTTAAACTAGGCAAAAGTTGTTTGTTATTATAACTTTCAGTAATATTTCTAGTATAAATACATATACCAACAAATGTTATTCGAGACCCTTTTAAAAGTTTGTTCTTTTGTCGTATGTGACCCCCCCCCCCCTTACCCGCATCAAAAAAGCTATCAAATTATTTGCCTGCAACGAAATGCAGAAATTAAATGTTTTGTTTTTAAGAAGAAATACCCCTTCTTCCGATTTACTCCTTCCTCGTCTTTACAGTTTAAAAATTCCTAAATCCGCCAAATTTTGTTATTTGTTATTACTACGTACACTAACTCTCGATTCCCGCCTACATTTTCCACCAATTAATTCAGTATAAATGGCAATTTGGACATGAAAACTTGTTTGAATGCAAAGAAAAGTTCATTAGTATTAAGTACTAATTTTAAAAACCAGTGACAAAAAGAAGTTGCTCTTATTTACAACTCCTTTCATAAGGGGGTAGAAAATTTTATCACTTGAAATCAGGCTAAAAACATCACCATTTTCAAATACTCATGAAAATGAAAATGGATAAATGACTCTTAAATCTCACCGTATGTTTTAACTTGTGTAAAATTTAACATATGAGATTGATAAAGTGATAAAGTACATTTTTTTTTGGTTATCTCACTTGAAATTGGTAATAAAATGACTATTGTCCTGTTTTTAATCTTTAAACACGTGCCCCCCCCCCCCTCCCCGTAAGACAACAAAACCTTTGGAATGAATAAAAACTGAAAAAAAGGATTTGTTAATTCACGGAGGAAGATGTTTTGAAAATAAATTTCCATTTTCCGTTATAGTGAAATATTTCCTCAAATTAAAGATTTATATCTCTTTGTTTTCCCAAATAAGTTATGTTTTACATACACGGATCTAGAGGGGGGGGGGGGGTCGGTGGGAGGTGGGGGGTCTAGACCACCTCCTGGAATTTGTACAGTTATTTAATGTATAGGCCTATACTAAACCAACCAAAATTGACCTTGCAACCCCCTCTCCCTTGAAAACGCGGATCCGTGTTAAGTTGATATGAAAAGTCATAGATACGAAGCATAAATGTCAACCCCCCACCCCACCCCCCACCCCGAAATAGCTTTTTCACGTTTAGGAAAGGAGTTTAAGTTTTTGTTTTGTTTTGTTTTTTTCTTGTCAAGAAATTTCTGGGTTGGAATTTTTTTACTGGGCTGGGCCCCTCCTGTAAAAAAAATCCTGGATCCGCGCCTGGTTTTATGAAAATTCAAATAAATATCAATATAAATATGAAAATTTATTCAAATATGTGTGGCAGTTGGCAGTAAGCAGTGAGCAGTTGGCAGTAAGCAGTGAGCAGTTGGCAGTAAGCAGTTGGCTGTCGTATATGGAATTCCATAACAAACAAAAAATATTGAAAATTATTTAAGAGACTGATCTGCCTCTGAGATGATAAATGATAATCTTTTTTTTTTTTTTTTTTTTTTTTTACAGGTGATAAGACTCCAAAAGAAGATTCTGAAAAATAAACGAAATGGAGGGAAACACACAAGAAACTTTACCTTATTGAAAGAGTCTCGTTTTGTGCGTTTTATGCGCTTTTTTGCTAGACACATGCGTATAACAAAATAAACAAAACTTTCATTACCTTGTTATTTATTTCAGTATCTCGGGAGGCAGTTTTGTCACCTACTACACGAAAAGAAAACTGTAGCCTGGCGAGTCTTAATCTATAAAGCGATATCCAAAAAAAAAAAAAAAAAAAAAAAAAAAAAAAAAAAAAAAAATTAATCAGTCAATTTTTAATCAAAGACGAACTTTGACGGAGGAGCATACATGTATAAGAGCAATTTTGATTTTTAAAAAAAATTTCCATTTACATTCCGAATCAATTCAGAAGGGTCACTGATGAAGAATGGGATACTAATTTAAAGGGAGACGAAATGTACACATGTATTCTCATACCGGACCTTTAAGACCGTACATTATTTTGTAACCACATACATGCAATTTTCTAAAGTATTTCTTGAAAGACGGTTTAGCCAATATTTTTTAAAAAATACATTTTATCTCTCAATCCCATTATCCAAAGATGTGTTTACATGAAAAGTGACATTAGTTACCCCCCCCCCCCCTAGAAAAAAAAACCATGATGTTCATGTACATGCACAAGAGAAAGAAGATGTTTCATTGGACATTATCACAACACTGGAACCAAACAGAAAACAATACACAGCTGGTCAACTTCTGAAATTTATCAAAGTACATGGATATATCCTTATTTAGATGCAGGACAAATAAATACATACAACATTATTGGCTATGTCCTGCAAAGATAAGTATACGCCCGATCATTAATAGAAGAAAAAAAATCCAGGCGGAAAAAGAAATTTATCTCATTATGGTAATAAATTAATTTCCAATTCAATTTCTGATCGATAGAGAAATTTTTATTATGCATGTACATATTATTTTCTAAATTTGTAATTAGCGACTCCTCAGTGATTAAATTTATTCAAATAAATTCTCTTAAAAACCGACGGGTCACTGAAAAATGTAGCAGTCCTCGTGTCGCTCTTCAATGTTTGAATTCATGATTTTTAATAGTCAAAGACAAGTAGTTGGCAGTGCATCTATATGATGAAATTTTTACGTAAAGTGGATAAAAGTTAACTGTAGCTGGGATACGGATTTTATAAATTTTGGAAAAAAACTTGCAAGGTGCAAGACGTGGAAATTCAAGCAAACAAGGTAAGCATTCAGATTTTCTTTGTCTCATGAGTTTTTTTAATTGTTGCTTATATACGGTATATATGAACCACAATAGTTTATGATGGTCTAACTACTTTTGTGACAAACAGAACTATTAGTTGAAAACAGCTGAAAATGTACAACATACAATGTCATGTATGTTTCAATTAAGATTTACTTTGACGGAGAGAGAGAGAGAGAATTTAAAATTGGTTAATTCATTGTCTCGAATAAATGCATTTAAAAACAATTTGCCCCTATTACACTCTGACCAAGACAAACCTGATGCTCGTCAGATATTCGACATATTGACAAGAACCGCGTACAGTAAATTCAAAATATTCATCGGCTTGCACGCCCATGTACCATGCTAATCATTATTGTCAAGTGGGCATTACAAGTTGTCATTTACACATGTAAAATTCACAAAAATGCAAATAAACAATTGACTTCGAATTGTTTGCTTTGACAGTCCGATGTACACTTATAAACAAAATTTATGTACTTAAATACTTATGATCATTAATTGTATGTATACTGAGGTAGACTTGTTCCTCTTACAGAATGGGACGGGTTGGTGTTGGAAATTTGGTCTTTCTGGTCTCTGTTATCACAGGTAAATTGTCATTTTATTGAAAAAAGAATGGAAATGGACAATGTAGATCATTACATTAATTTTTGTCCTCCTAATTTCTTTCAAAAATTAATTCTACAACTCTCATGTTAAAAATTATTTTCAGCAAGAAAGAAAATAGAAGGAAATGATGTACTATATTGTATGTATAAAATTCAATATTGAAATGATTTATTTTTTCCTTCACAGGAGTAAAGGCTCTAGTTTCAACAAATAAACCCGGAAAATGTCCACTCCCTACTTACTCCAACGCTGGGGGAAACTGTAAGAGTGACAGAGACTGCTCAGGCTCCCTGAAGTGCTGTCCCCACACGCTGGCTGGGTTTGCTTGTATGAAACCGGAAGCTTCGAGCGACATCAAAATCGCTCGACCGGGAGAATGTCCCGTTATTACGGACACCAAGACTGGAATCTCGTGCGAACGGGACGCGGACTGCATGGAGCCGCAGATATGCTGTACATATGGACAATCCTCAATATGCCTTTATCCTACTATCGTGAACACACTTCCAAAATTTAAAGAACCAGTTTTTAAGCCCGGTCTACACGTTCTGAGTAGTCGTTTGTTTGCAGTCAATCGATGGCTGTTACGAAAATTGAAATTAAGGGCACAGAAACGTCAGAAAAAGCCCACACGACCGAAAAATGTCAACTCACGAATCCAGAAACTTTTAGCGAGATTGTCACCTAAAAAATCTACACAACAGAGGATATTTCAAAGTTTGAACAATTTTATTTTTCGCTTTTTGCAAAAAAGAAAGAAGCATTTCAAACCTTCCATAAAAGTGTCCAAAATTAATAATCCTGTTAATGTAACGACTCTGTCAGAAAAATCCAGCAATACAACCTCATCACCGGAGCTTATACATCCAGGAGGCGTGCCAATTGTTTCTAGACCAGACATTGTCGAATCTTCAATACAAGGCACAAGTGTCCCAGAAGTAGCCCCGGAAGTTTACCCCGAAGACTATCCCGTAATTATCCCAATTGATGAACTAACCTCATCAATAAGTACAGAAAGTCCGAAATCAGTTAACACAGATAGCCCGATTTTTGATATATTGAAAACACCAACTTCATTACTTCCAGCAGGAGAACCTGAACTTTTTCCAGAAGAAAATCCAGTGATCATTTCTGTGCCAGAAGAGTTAGTTACCCCGGAACCGGAACCATCTCTACCAACAAGCACAGCAGTTCCGGATATCAGTACTTCTATGAGTCCAACTGTGCAATCAACAGATGTGAGCTTAACTCAAACGTCCGCATCTATGGCACTGCCATCTAAATTTCAAGTCCCTTCAGTTGACATAACGTCAGAAAACAGCATAGCTGAACCTGAAACAGCGCGTAGAACTTCCCCATCCTCATTTAAACCTGTTTGGCATATCATCGATCCGATGTCTAAACAAAAAATACCTTTGGGCCAGTCTTCCATTCTTGACGTTGTTTCTCCGGCTGAACGCATGTACGAACAACACATTAATGAAGAGTATGGGCCTCTTAAAGAACCGAGCGATGCTCAAACTTCTTTTGACAATCATTTTGCCAGCTACCTCCAAAAAACAATGCTACCACCGGAATCTAACAGTATCTATCCGGAAAATAGTTTATTATATCCGGAAGTGGAAATCTTCAAACCGGAAAAGCAAGGTTCATGTCCTGTGAATTTAATGTATCGGAGGTGCGAGACAAATTGCAAATTCGATGATGATTGCCCAGGGGTTGACAAATGTTGTGACATGGGTTGCGGTAATGTTTGTGTGACGCCAAAAGAGAAGAAAATTTACTGAAAAGGAGAAAACAGAATTATTAGAAAGAGTACACCAATCATGGAGCCACGTGTCAAATGCTTCCCAATATACACCTCTATCTTTAGATTCCAGTCACTCTCTCAGGGCTTATAACTGTTCAAATGAGGCATATAGTAGTAGTTATCAGTATTTTATTTAAATTTTGAAATATAAATTTTTCCAATTGTACCTAAGAAATGTTAACTTAACCATGTTAACCCGGGCGCTCAGAGTTGAAAGTATTGGAGCGTTGATGCTTCTGAGAGGTCATTTTTTGAAACAAAGAAATCATCCCTGAATTCCATTGTATATATCTTTCATGTTATTTATTTGTTAATCATGTTGATCCAAAATAAATAATTTTACTTTATCTGTATTTCCGTTTCTTTAACAAAGACACGCAGCGAATTTCATTTCACTTAATTCTATTTAAATTATAGACATGACAGTTTCTTTGAAAGGTTCAAGTTTGATTGACAGGGATCGTGTCATAAAATTAACTTGTCTGAATTTTTTGCATGCAGTCGGTAAACTACAAAGTCAAAAAGGTGCGGATCCAAGGTAAATGTGTTTATTAATTATAGCGTGATTTGTCAATTCCCAAGGCCAAATATTTTGCTTATAGATATATATTAATGAAAGTATGGTATAAAACTTTATATAAATGAATCTTATTTCATTCTACAGATTATAGAAATAAGGAGTCCCTAACATAGCCTGCAAAGTCTTTGGTTGGCAATCTTTTTCTTGATGAATAGGCTATTCTCAGCATTGTTCAGCAAGGAAAGTAATTTTAAAATCTTGTAATGGGGGGGGGGGGGTCGGTTTATTCAGCACCCAAAGGCGTCGGGACCAAGGAAGGGGATAGATGCTAGTAAGAAATGCATGTAAACCTCGTCACGTTTTTTTTTTTTTGGGGGGGGGGGGAGGGGGTAGATTTTAAATTGTGTAATATAAACAGGGTTGGAATTTTGCTAACTGTATGAGGTACGATCCCTTTTTGTTGGATTACCCCCTCAAGAAGCCATTATTATCTGATTTAGTAGTGGTAAATGTTCAAAGTAGATTCCATGGCAAGACAGAATGGACTGAGGAAAAAAGGTTTTACTGTAATTATATATAAGGTTTTCTCATTTACAAGTAAAAAGTTTAACACAAAAGTAAAACACGCGTTAAATTACTGTTTGAAAATCAAAGCGAACAATCTCTCCTATATGTATGAGCGTACATGGTACGCCAATGGTCTCCAAAGAAGACAAAGTTATTTTATTCTCAGAGCTGACTTGTTCTGGAGTAGCCGACAAACCTGTAAAACAGCACAAAGTTTCGTTCAACCAGACGCTCGGCTACCTCACTTTCTACCCAGAGTTGTCGTTCCCCGCTACGCTCTGTCAACGCTTGTTATACAAAATTCTTGGAAAATTTGTAAATGATTAAAAGTTGTATCAATAATCGTTTTTAATTATATTTGTTATTGGAAAACAGGATTTATTTTAAATTATTACACTTTAAAAGGATTTTTAAATTAAGTTTTTAATTTTTTCTCCGCAAAATAGTTCCCTAAAAACTGAGAAAATATATCGTTTTGAGTGATTATAGATTTAAAATAAATGATAAATTATCATCTTTATCGATAATTACAATAATTAATTACCATTTTACTATCAAATTTTCACTGTTTAAAACTTGTACAAGAATCTTGTACAACGAGCGTTGATGGAGGTGTTGGGAGCGTTACGAAAGACAACTCTGGATAGAGAATGTCGGTTACCTCCGTAAATCTATGCTTGGAGGAGATTTACCAGTTTACGGAGAACAGCCGAGCATCTGGTTGAACGACACTATTGACTGATTGTCAGCAAGAGGACAAAATATTATGTGACAAATAAGTAATGGGCATGCATAATACTTATTTACAATAACAAAAAAGTAACTATCTGATATTAGATATAAGAAACTAAGCATGAACTATAAACCCGAAATTTATTGGGAATATCACATATGAAAATATCATATCTTTTAATAAAATTGATCTACATGCTACAAAGGTTATCTTTTTACATTAAAGTAAAGGTCCCATGCTTTCCGGACTCGAATTCTTCTCGTCATGAAATAAGTAAATGTCATAATCACAGCTCCATACTTCAGGGCTTCGTATACCTCATAATTCTTCTCTAAACTGTGAAGAAACCAAAGGAAAATTTACTAAAAATTAAATTCAATTGATAGATTTAACAAATTTCAGGCATTTAAATTTAGAACTGTTTATATACCCCCTCCCCCATCCCGTGAAAAACCCACACAATGATCTAGTATACTATACACATTTTTTTTTTTTTACATTTTCACTTTACTATTATTTTATAAACACTGTATTTACAATCAAAAAGATATTTCAATACAATATATTTTTTTTACCATTAAAAGTCCTTCATCTTTATACAATTCATGCCTACTGGGGCCAAAATAAAAAATACCTTTGTTTCCCCTAACGCGACTGACCCACTTAAATCGTGCCGACTGAAAAGTTTTTTAATAAGATTATTCAAATACTTTTTTTTATTGTTTATCAACTTTATAAAATATAATTTAATCAAAATCCGGGTTTTTTTTTTAAATCAGAACGGCGGCTTTTCTTTTACTCATTTGGCGCCTACAACATGTGGCCACAGAAGATTAGTTCGTGTTATAAAACAACGGCGATTTATCAATCTTAATATATTTTATCTTTAACTTATTAGAATCCTACACTCTTGAAACATTTCGTGAATTAAATATACCATGACTAGGGAGTGTTAAGATGGTATTTACAAATGTGTCTTCTAAAATTAACGTACGTAGTAAGCATGGCAAAGCCTGTCTCAGGGGCCCACCTTGTGTATGCATATCACTGCATTTCTTTCGTTTCAATCTAATAAACACTTCATGTATGATTCTATTTATACTATAAAAGATCATAGGAGTTGAAAATGTCTTTGTATAATTATTTCATCTTGATGAATAAAATTCAGATGTCGTTTCTTCATTCCTTTTATTTAATGGGGTAAATTTCGGGACTAAAAAATATACTCGGATGGCCTCTGGTTGAGTATCTGGGAATCTTGTCTTTTTGTAAAAATTCAATTTCAATAAATTTCCGCTGGCATGAGATATTTCACAAGTTCAATATTTGTGAATTATTTTAGCATACATTTTACTTTTAAATTTCATTTGTATGATACTTGGTTTAAAAATCGGTTTCTTTTGTTATTTCTTATTTATAAAGATATTATTCAATTGTTCAGAATGTATTATCAAAACTGCATAAAAAAATAATTTACCTACCTACCTACCCAACTTGAAATTTTAGGGTAGGGTTAGGGGAAACAAAGATATTTTTAATAATGGCCTGGTACATCATGGACTCATGGAACATACTGGGAGAACTTACCTAGCTATTTTATCAACATCTAAATCAGATTTATTCCAGTTATCTTTGATGCCATCTAGATGTTCCATTCGCACTATACCCACCACAGTTGGCGTTTTATCTAAAAAGGTTTGCAATGAATCTATAAACAAAGCCCATAAATTATACAACATGTCTATCTATATGTACATGTAAAATCTAAATAGATCATAATCAATAATGATGTTATACATTATCAATTACATTTACGAAATCTGTAACACTTTTGTCAGTTATAGAAACACTGTACTTTTTTTCATGTTCAAAATTGATGGATAAATATCATTAACAAATTCACATATGTAGAATATTTGACATATTACATGTACATACATACATAATCATAAAAAAATCATAAATAAAATAGGAGTTGACCAAGAATCCAGTACATGCAGTATCATGATGCATTAATATATTGGAATATTATCAAAGTCCACATCAAAAAAATTCCGTGAAAAAATTTCAAGCCTCTTGTAATAATTAGTATTATATCTTTCATCCCCTCCCTTTTTTGATAGAAAAACATGGAATGAATTGAAGATCTTACTTAACTTACTTAAGTAGATGGAAAAGTTATAAGCACAGTTCGTTTAAACATTACTTTTCCCAGAATAGCCAGCAGATTGGAATTTCAGCCTGTAAAAGCTAGAGTACCTGGATTATAACTTACCTGTTGCACTGGGTTCTGCGGCTTTCTTCAGTGAGTAGGCTAAATACCTATCCCTATCACTGATAAATAGTCTCTTGAACACAGGTAAGGAGCTGAATTCCTTGTCAATTTCTTGCTGCCTGTAATCTTTGTTAGACTCCAGTTCATGTACATCCTCTGGGCTGTAAACATACAAATATATGTACACAACTAGTAAACAGAACCTTGAGTAATCTAGAAGATGCTTCACAATGTTTACTTGCTGGATTATTGTTCGTACAATCTCAAACATGCTTACTTGTTTTGTGCTATCTGTAGCCTTCTATACAATACACACACTTACTTGTTTTGTGCTATCTGGAGACTTCTAACGATACAATACACATGCTTACTTGGTTTGTGCTGTCTGTAGCCTTCTATACAATACACACACGTACTTGTTTTGTGCTATCTGGAGACTTCTAACGATACAATACACATGCTTACTTGGTTTGTGCTGTCTGTAGCCTTCTATACAATACACACAGTTACTTGTTTTGTGCTATCTGGAGACTTCTAACGATACAATACACATGCTTACTTGGTTTGTGCTGTCTGTAGCCTTCTATACAATACACACACGTACTTGTTTTGTGCTATCTGGAGACTTCTAACGATACAATACACATGCTTACTTGGTTTGTGCTGTCTGTAGCCTTCTATACAATACACACACTTACTTGTTTTGTGCTATCTGGAGACTTCTAACGATACAATACACATGCTTACTTGGTTTGTGCTGTCTGTAGCCTTCTATACAATACACACACTTACTTGTTTTGTGCTATCTGGAGACTTCTAACGATACAATACACATGCTTACTTGGTTTGTGCTGTCTGTAGCCTTCTATACAATACACACACTTACTTGTTTTGTGCTATCTGGAGACTTCTAACGATACAATACACATGCTTACTTGGTTTGTGCTGTCTGTAGCCTTCTATACAATACACACACGTACTTGTTTTGTGCTATCTGGAGACTTCTAACGATACAATACACATGCTTACTTGGTTTGTGCTGTCTGTAGCCTTCTATACAATACACACACTTACTTGTTTTGTGCTATCTGGAGACTTCTAACGATACAATACACATGCTTACTTGGTTTGTGCTGTCTGTAGCCTTCTATACAATACACACACTTACTTGTTTTGTGCTATCTGGAGACTTCTAACGATACAATACACATGCTTACTTGGTTTGTGCTGTCTGTAGCCTTCTATACAATACACACACGTACTTGTTTTGTGCTATCTGGAGACTTCTAACGATACAATACACATGCTTACTTGGTTTGTGCTGTCTGGAGCCTCCTACGCAATACACATGCTTACTTGGTTTGTGCTGTCTGTAGCCTTCTATACAATACACACACTTACTTGTTTAGTGCTATCTGGAGACTTCTAACGATACAATACACATGCTTACTTGGTTTGTGCTGTCTTCAGCCTTCTACACAATACACATGCTTACTTGTTTTGTTCTGCCTGTACCCTTCTATACAATACACACGCTTACTTGTTTTGTTCTGTCTGGAGCCTTCTTATGATACAATACACATGCTTACTTGTTTTGTTCTGTTTGTAATCTTCTATACAATACACATGCTTACTTGTTTTGTTCTGTTTTGAACCTTCTATACAATACACATGCTTACTTGTTTTGTTCTGTCTGGAACCTTCTATACAATACACATGCTTATTTGTTTTGTTCTGTCTGGAACCTTCTATACAATACACATGCTTATTTGTTTTGTTCTGTTTGTAGTGTTCTATACAATACACATGCTTACTTGTTTTGTTCTGTTTGTAGCCTTCTATACAATACACATGCTTACTTGTTTTGTTCTGTCTGTTTGTTTGTAATCTTCTATACAATACACATGCTTACTTGTTTTTTTCTGTTTGTAGCCTTCTATACAATACACATGCTTATTTGTTTTGTTCTGTCTGTAATCTTCTATACAATACACATGCTTACTTGTTTTGTTCTGTTTGTAATCTTCTATACAATACACATGCTTACTTGTTTTTTTCTGTTTGTAGCCTTCTATACAATACACATGCTTACTTGTTTTGATCTGTCTGTAGCCTTTTATACAATCTTCTTGCATAAGTTATCCTCTCCTTAACACTAGGAATCCCCCAGGACTTCACTCCCAGAATCTCTTCTGGAATATCAGCTAAGTGTAGTTTACAATTTGGAATCTTCTTAACCTGCATGGTGAGGACATAAAAAATCCTTTATAAATTTTTGGAACTTAATTCATAGATTTTTCCTTTGACAAACTCCCAGCTGATTGCAAAAAATATTAATGAGTTTCACCCCCTCCCCCCCCCTATTTTTTTACATTAAAAAATTTTTTCGACATAAACCATTTACTCATTTTTTACATTTGTATTACAGTGTATATAGAATGTTTCCCTCCATCATGAAAATCTAAAGTAACTGTTGCGGATGGATTTCGGACTGACAAATCTGGAATAAAAGTTGTTCTGAATAACACTAGGTTTACAGTACTTATTGGCTTGAAGGCATTTCATTTACATCTATTACATGATAAGATATGCTTTTGCAGAAACTGTTGACAATCAACCTGACTTTATATTTGCATTTTTAAAAGAATTGTTGATTGCACACCATTGTAAAGGACCAAATCAAGGCAAAACTCTTCAACTGCTATTTCAAAAAGTATTCATTGAAATATTTAACCAGAACTTTCAAATATAGCATTTTTGGATAAAAGAATCTACATGTAGTTATATAATTATTTAACCAAAACTTTCAACTTCTGCATACTGGCACATTAAACCTTGGTACAATTAATATTGAAATACAGTGGCGCCTCGTTTATCCGGACGCCTCTGTCCCCAACGAAATCGTCCGGATAAATGAATCGTCCGGATAATTGAATCACATCTCAAAAAGCACTCTCTAAGCATGTACATTGTATATATGCACATTCTTGTTTCAAATATGACAGCAAAGAAAAAAAACTTTTAAATTATATTTTAGTTTATTGTTTTAAAAGCAGTAATTGATTAGAGAAAAAAATATATTAAAATGTAATTTACACACACACAAAAAAAAATGGATGGGCAATTTTATGCTGAGGCCTCCTATTTTTATTCGCCTTCTCTTTGGCCTGTGACTTCATGGGCTGAGCAAATTTTGATCTACATTTGTTTATTTAGCCATATATTATAATTATTGAAGCTCATATGATATGACAGAACTGTTCAGCATCATCATTAAAAAATAACCCTGTATATTCCCCGTATATTCATTACACAGGGTTACTTTAAAATTAACTGCAAGCTTACTCAGACAAAGTATTAAAAACATTCGTAAACACAAGCCATCTTCATGATTATCAATATTTTTTTTTCTACAGACGCTAAGTTTGAATTTCGATCATTAAAAATACCTTGATAAACGTAATCAACTTCTGTACGTAACGCCAGTTTTATATATCTTTTCTAAAGCAATGGACGTTTGTAAACGGTAGTACATTAAATAGAGATATTTCTTCAGTTATGTACCTTTCTAAACTGTCTTGTGGGGAAAAAAGCGTTTCAAATACATTTACGTTTTTAGAAATGGAAAACAGTATTTTAAACTAACGCAATCAACATGATAAAGAGCATTACGAAATCGCTCGTTATTTATTGTTCATTTTATTTACAGCTCCTCAAAATTCTCATGAATTTACCAATGTATATACGGTTAGCAATATGATTTTGAACAGATTATTATTTAATTAATGCACAGTATAAGCTAAATATTAAAGATAAACGTGTGATTGAATTAGGGTAAACACACGCTAATTATAGACGCTATTGTTTGTAGGTCACAGGTAACCGTCTTCAAACTGACTGCATGGCCAATGTTTTTACAACAATTAACATGAAAGCAAGCGAAGTGTGAAAAAGTCGTTTCTTGAAAAATTACCGTCCGGATAAACGAGTCATTTTTCAATGAACTATTACGTTTGTAGTAGAAATTGACTGTCCGGATACGGAACGCGAATTTCCGGATTAATGAGACAAAATAACGTGGAAAAAATCGGTTCCCCAAAAATATCGTCCGGATGGTGAAGCATCCGGATAAATGGCGTCCGGATAAACGCGGCGCCACTGTATATGACATGGTAGTGCTGAAATAAATCTTTGAACTTATATTTTGGTACCATCCTACATAGAATGTTCAATCTTTGTTAAAAGCCACTTGTGACGTCACTCTTTTGTTTGAGCACTCCATTATTTTTCAGGAATGGAGAGTTGCAAATTACATTGAAAACGGTATTTGCTATGTTCAAATTCTCCTACCCATGCCTCTTCCAGGGAAAGAACTTAGAAAAATTCATTAGTTTATTTTCATTTTAAGAAAAAAACCATACTGGTACCGCTGTGAATTGATCCTGGTACCCTCACCATGGTAGTCAGACACTCATCTCACTACGCTATCATAGCTGTTGACAGATGGCAGATTTAAATTTCTTTATAACACTTTACTCGCCTCACTCTCTCTATATATATTAAAGCTATAAATACTACTAATATGTTAAATATATATTTATTGTGTACATTTTATATATTTTTTTATTATATATTAACAAACAATAATAACTAGCATTTAAAACAGTGGATTTTAAGTGGGTTAATATACTCGTAGTGCTCCATTCCTTTAAAGCAATGGACCTCGGCCCCTTCGGGGCCTTGGCTCCATTACTTTTAAGGAATGGAGCGCTACTCAAACATTAACCCTTACATGTTGTCCTATGGAGTATGGACCCAGTTTAACAATAGAGTTTTTCTGCATTTTTGTGTAAAATAACAAAATAATCAAAGGCTTGGGAAGATAACTAAAAAAGATAACTAAATTCACTTGAAAAATCCTAAAATGCAAACAAACACCCAAGAAAACTATCCTCAATAAATTTGCTATAAATGACCTAAAATTATCTGGATTTTCTTACCTCAGTGAAAGCTTGTCTGAGATCTGCATCAGATGACAGCCCTGTTTGCTTGGATTTCAACACCTTCTCTTTGAAAAGCAGTGCTGATACAGGTCCATTCTGCAAAAATATATATTCATGTCATTCATTTTATAATCTTAATACTATAACATTATATATTGCTCGGAAAGGAAGGGGAAATAATCTGAGCTTTTCTTCATTTGCTTGAAATGTTATTTTTGTTCATGCACGATGCTTCATGGTTTGAGAAATTTAATTACTCTAATAATTTTTCAAGTGGATTTGATTTAATATATATAAATGTATTATCTGACTTGTTTTTAGCTACGTGCAGCTAACTTGTTTTCAACTACTGGTAATTGCTCATGAAATAATTAACCCTGAAAATTAAATCTATAAGTAAAATCTTATATTTCAAGAGTAAATTCTCCAATGTATCCATTTTCTTTCAGTGAGATATTGTTAGTATATGTTGAACAATGTTTTTTTTTTTTTTTTTTTTTGACAAAGAATTTAAAGAATACAAAAAAAAAAAAAATTAAGCCATGATTTGAGAAATGTGAAAGTTGGTAAATATCCAACTGCAAGTTTAAGTAAAACTAATCTGAAATAATTTTTTTGTGCTATCTTCAAGTATATGGATTATGGACATGTGTCCTAAGTAAGTAACACTTTTAAGGACAATTAACTATGTATAGACTTACACCACCAAGAGCTATAAATAACATTTTCATGTACAAAAATGCTGATGAAATTTGAAGATTTTTAAAGGCAGTTTCTTCATCCTGTTTTATATCATCTAGTCTGGTCGAACAACACTGCAAAGACACAACACTGGGACGAAGTTGTTTGATAACCTGCAAACAGATACCAAGCAAATTAGACAATGGTGAAAATTTGCAGCGATTTAGCATACAACTATATTTGTGTATTTTTTTGACTACATTGTAGATCTATCTATAAGCTATCTTTTTTAATATTTGAATACACATCATTAAATGTTCTACAACTGACCTATAAAACTAATGCATGGCTTTTTACAATTTCACCAATAAGTTTGAAATTCCTTAATATTGGTGACCTGCTTATCATAAACTCATTTCACATCAGCCTGTCCACACCAGCTGCAGAAATGTGAGAAAGAAAAATAGATGTGCGCAAACCAGAGATCTCCGGTATATCTGTCCAAATTTTCTTTTAAAGGAGATCGCCAAAGTTCTGCAGCTACCTAAGCTGTATCTTTCAAATAAGAACATTTTTAATCATCAGATTCAGCAAAGTTGTGTATATTTTTTTCCTAGAATTTTAAACAATGTAGAGGAACTTCTCCAATTAATAGCTGAAGCTCTTGTCTCTTATATTGTTGTTAGCAGCAATCGAATATCCAAAATATCTTCAAAATTGCCTTATTTAATATACTAGAGTGAATGTGCATGTCTATATACAGCCTAGTCCACTTAACAGTTACAATAATTTTCTTCATAAAATTTTTAGATCATTTTTACCCAAGTAAACCTACTACATGTACCTTTAACCTACTGCATCTTCACAAGCATAAAATCATATGCCCTAGAGCAAAGACATTTTTTTTTGCTGCATATTGATAATATAATCATTTGTAATATGTAGTCATAATCATCAGGCCATACCTTTGATACATTATGCAGACATTTTGTACAGAATTCATTAGTTCCCAGTAAATAGACTCTGCTTCCCCATTCTGTGGTCAATACTTCACAGTTCTGTGGCAGTGCTTCTGATTCAGGAACTTTTGGTGCTGCAATACTTCCATTCTGGTCAGCTGCCTACCAAAATAACACAAGCATATCTTGTGCATTTCATTCCGACCTTGATTTAGGGAAACTGGGAAAGGACTAAAATAAGCCGTGCCTGCAGCCCAATCCCATTCCCTTTTGTGTGGCTTATGTAACCTTTGTTACTGGTTACTAACCATTACAACTGAACATAAGTGAAAGGAAGCTGGACTTGACATATAGAACCTACTGGTTTAAGAGGTTCTTTGATGAAAATTTTGTCATCATGCTCCATCAATGTTTTTTTTCTTTTTTTTTTTCAAAACTCAATATGACAAGAATTGTTTAACTTAATAGTAATGATAACAAAAACCCAGAGTTCTGGGGTTAAATGTAGTGATAATTCCATCAGCTGTCCATTCCAGATATAATTTGAATTGATGGATGATAATCATGATGTAAAATATCAGAATAAAAAAAAATTATTATGAACTCAATGATAAAATTAACAACCTTATTGACCTTTCAATTCTATTAACTTATATTTTTCAATATAATATATATTTTTTTCAAGTAATATTTTTTAACGTTATAAGCTTCAGTGTGCATATTTCGAATTTACTCTGTCGCCCTCAGATTATTTTAAAGGCAATTTAGTAATTTATTTATAGATTGAATGAAACTTAAAATATATGCCCTAATAATTAATAAAATGTAACAAAATCGTGTTCAGTACCTTGGATTTCTTGAAAAACATAGAGAATAAGTGTTTAACCCCTGTGACAGCACGCCTTAAGAGAAAAATAATTAATTTTAAAGTACATCGAGCCCGATTTGTATTCGTGTCCCGCTCCAAGTCTTGCGTCGATTTTAGCTGTTAGAACAACCCCCCCCCCCCCCCCAAAAAAAAGAAAGAAGAAAATCTGCATTTTTAAGTTTAAAGCTTGCATTGTAAATAAATATTCTTAAAGTTTATGAATGAAGAAAGTGTGTCTGGGCAAAACAATTGTTTTTTTTTGTTTTTTTTATTTTTAGAACTGGTTGAAATATATGGAATTCCATAATACGACAGCCAACTGCTTACTGCCAACTGCTTATACTGCCACTGCGCATAGATTATATTGTCTGTTTTATTATCTTTAATATCTTTAATACGCATGCTTAATTGAATAAACCCTATGATAGATTACAATAATAACAAAAATTGGCGGATTCAGGAATTTTCAAACAGTGATCGAAGGCAAAGAAGGAATAAATAGGAGGAAAGAGTATTCTCTCTTAAATACAATACATCTAATTCCATTATTTCCTTACAGGCAAATAATTTAATAGATTTTTTGAGGGGGGTGGGGTGGGGTATTAAAGAAAGAAAAATGGGGGTGGGGGTTAGTAGGATCTTGGGTTATATTTGTTGGTATATGCATTTATATCAGAAATACTAATATAAAAAAATCTTAAAGGCCTTTTACTTTACTCTATGTAAAAACAGTTGATTTCAGGCAAGGAAAAGCAAGTTCGGGGGGGGGGGGGCGCACAACCCAACATAATTCTCTTGACAATTAACTGAAAAAAGTCACAGGCGTCTTTATTGAAGGTAGAACTACTGTATATAGATATGTAAGAAATTTAGTGGTTACGCCCCCACCACCACCACCACCACGAATGTTTTAACAGATCTAACATTAGCCATAAAAATGATTTACATACACTGTAAGACACATATAAAAATTCCCACACGTAAGTACTTTTCCTAGGGTAAAAAGAAACACCAACAGATATTACAAGATATTTTAAACCATGCAGGCAAGTTATTTGTTATTATAACTTTCAGTAATATTTAGTATATACCAACAAATATTACTCGAGACTACGAGAGCCAATAGAGCTCATTTTCGGAGGTAAAAAATATATTTTTCGCGGTATAACGCAAAACTTTCGCGAATGAACGCGTAACTTTAATCGCGTTATGACGCGAAACTTTCGCGAATAATCGCGTAACTTTCGCGTTATAACGCGAAACCTTCCCTGTAGACACTTGCCTAAGTTTCCATTTTCTTTTACTTTAATGATCTAGTTTATTCGTTACAATGAAAAACCAAACACTATTTTGAACTTGGATTATCACAAGCTGAAATTTTATGTTTTTCACGCCATTGAATGTGTCTTTCCTCTTTCTAAATCTTTTTTGCCGTCACATTTTGTCTTTCTCAACGCTGTTCAAACATTTTCAAAGTCTCTGCGAGTTTTTCCAAATTGAAACTTTCGGGAAAATGATCCCCCTTTCCGGTGTAACGACGAAAAGTGACCCCCGTAGAATATTGACCAGGGGGTCAAATTTATACGTAGAAAAATGATCCTGGGCCAATATTCCACGACAAGTAGGGTCATTTTTCGACCGTAGAAAACCCTTCCAGGCCGGTAATTCTACGACTCCTCTCACGCTGAAAAATGACCCCCATAGAAATCTGACCCCCTACTTTTTCACAATATTATATAATAAAACCTGTTAAAAAACCTTCAGAAATGAGATATGATACACATTAATTTTTCCCCAAGAAAATTTCAACATATGTTACATTAAAAGTTTAGACTTGATCAAGTTAAACTTATCTATAACAGTCTGTTATAGATAAGTTTAACTTGATAAAGTCTAAACTTTTAATGTAACACATACATGTGGACGGGTGAGAAAAGAAAAAAAATATTTTGTTTTCTGGCAAACATTTTTTGAAAGTTGGCCTGGGCTTGTCTCCAAATCATGCACTGCAGTTATAGAATTTCTAACATGTTTTCTGCGTACCTCCTTCCCCAGTCTTTTCATAATTTAAGGAGGAATGCCAAACCAGAATTTTATTTAATAGATCTTTAAGACATCCCTTTTAAACTATGGTTGCAGCACTGAAATACTGATATTAGCATTTAATACGAAATTTTGTGTATTTTTTCCGAGAAAATGAAAAAAAAATGTTTTATTTGCAAAGATGCTTATTAAAAAAATCAAATTTGTTATAAATCGTAAAACTCTTTCACTCATGTACACAACCTTTCGTAGACCCCAATTAGAATATGCTTCCTTGGTGTGGGGTGGATGTAAAGTAGGGGTTAGCGAAAAATTAGCTCTTAACTCTATTAGCTTCTAAAGATGCACTATACTTTGAAACTGGATGGGAACCATTGTATGAAAGAAGAAAAAATACTAGGTCAACTACAATAACCAAGTTCCTGAATATCTAATTGATATAATCCCAAATTTGCGTTGTAATTCATCAAGTTACAGTACGAGAAATTCGTATAATTATAACATACCTGAATGCAGTTTGCAAACATTTAAGTCAACTTTCATCCCCCTTGTTATTGACGAATTGAACTCATTACCTCTTACTGTAAGAAATTCTTCTTCATTGTCTATCTTTAAAAAGTCCATTTCTTACAATAAACCTATGCCACCCTCTTATATCAGTTACGGGATTCGACGCTTAAATATATTACATACAAGGCTTCGACACAACTGTGTGTTTAATAGCGATCTTTTTCGATGTGATGCAATTTTGAGTCCCCTATGTTCTTGTGGAAGAGCGGATGATACTCATCATTATTTCTTTTCATGCAAAAAATATACAGAGGTCAGAAAAGAATGTTTTGACTCATTTCTGAGAATGGGAAAATTGCATACTGTTGATACTCACACTTTACTGTGGGGAGATGAAACGCTAAACGATGTTGAAAATGAATATCTATTTTCCATTGTACAAACATTTATTAAAAAGTCAGGTTGTTTTGGTTGATACAATTATTACTTTTTACGAATTCTATACAGCTTGTGTATTAAATAAGAAATATATTAAATTGAATATTGTTCCTCTGATTATTATGTTTTTCTGTGTTTATTTAATTTAAGCTTAAACCCATATATGTAAATATGTTTGGTATAATTTATATGTAGGGAAAGGGCGTATTAAGTTTTTTTTTTTTTTTTTAAGAACTTTTGCCCAATCCCATTTGTAAAGTTAATAGACAATAAAATACGTTCAAATCAAAGATGTTTTATGGTTTAAAATTTGCTATTAATAAATGCATAATATGAATGTCTAATAAAATGTGTACAGAGAGGTTGGATAGACATTTTAATTTTTTAAAATTAAATATTATTTATGAATATAAAACACAAAATTTGTAAATATTTTTTATACCTATGGATAAAATCTTCATAAAACTAGTCACAACTAGGGAGAATATGTTAGTCAATCATATTTTAAAAAGAAATTGAATTGAATTTGAGAAATTTTAGGGAAAATAATTATTTTAATATTTGGACCAATCCTGATCAAAATTAAACTGATCCCGATCAAAATTAACACAGAATAGATAAAATAATATTATAATTTGCTGCCTTCTTTTTGTATTTACCACTAAGAATTCTATTTGATTATCAAGTTCAATTACTTTTTAACCTGTATTACACCTAAAAAACATTTTCATTTTCTCTGAAAAAAAAAAATGCAAAAAAATTCGTATAAAATAATTAAAAGCTAATATCGGTCTTTGAATGCTGAAACCTTAGTTTAAAAGGGATTTCTTAAAGATCTATTAAACAAAATTTTGGTGTGGCATTCTTCCTTAAATATCGATCGGGATTGGCCAAAATTAAAAAGAAAATATTTTTTCTAAAATTTGGCATTTTCATTTTAATTTATTTTTAAAATATGATTGACTACCATATTCATTCTAGCTGTGACTTGTTTTTTGAACATATTATCCATAGGTTTCGAAAATATTCGCAAATACTGTGTTTTATTTTCATAAATAATTTTTTAGCAATTAGAATTAAATCTTACTTCAAGTGTTTTACAATTTATAAACTTTATCTCTATAATGTTATGTACAGTACATGTAGATTGAGGATGGTTCCTATGCGCGACAGAGGCAACTGTGGTACAATTTTTTAAGCCCACAATTTGCTTGACTTTCTTTTTTTTTTGGATTGAATGGCTCAATTACTTGAGTGAATGATTTTAATTTTCCCAGAGTCTTTGCTAGGACCTGTAATAAGGTGAACATTTACTCAAATTACGTTGATAGCCCAAAGGTTAATCATTTAACACTGTCCATTCAAAACCGTTTAGTACATGTAGAAATCTATAGTTAGCAGAGTAGAACCATTCAACAAGTAAAGATTATACATAGTTTTATTAAGAGTACGTATTTGAAAAAAACACCAAACGAACGTTTATATGCAATAAGAAAATATGAAATGCCGGGTAATCCATAGGGCAACGAGTGAGTCATGATGCAAGTGCATTTTGGTTAACACTGAAAGCAGCGACACGATGTCTGAACAAGATAAAAATCATGAAAATATAGTAAACTGAAAGCTTACAAGGGAAAAGGATAGTGAATTTCAAACCCTTATTACATACTAGATCAAATAAAGGATATTTATAAACCTCCTCTCTGCATGAGGATAATTTAGGGCATTAGCCGCACATCTATTTTTTATAACGGTACAAAAAAAATATCCAGCTTAGATTTCAAGCTGAAATATGCTCCTTGCACGTTAGTAAGCAGATATATATTGTTTTCCAAGCGTATACAATTAAATGCGCAAACATATAACGCAATGAACAAATTGTGAAACAAAAGGGAAGCAGTATTTTCTGTTGTTTGAAGTTATCGCCCTTATAATTTTAAATTACATTCATTTATTTGCAAAAATAAACAAATTTGCAAAATCCAATTTAAAGTAAAAAGATCAAGAATAAACATTTTATAATTTTTTTTCTACTAACAGTAAGAATTTTGTCT